CGCTCAGACTCGAGCGCTCAGACTCGAGCGCTCAGACTCGAGCGCTCAGACTCGAGCGCTCAGACTCGCCGCGAGAAGCGTCTCACCTGTAGGGGAAGCGCGAGCCGCGCAGGTCGGGCAGGTAGACGCAGTGGCGCACCACCTTGCCCGGCGCGGGCGTGAACACGAGCTGCAGGCCCGGGGCGTCGCCGGGGGCGTCCCCGTTGGCAGGGCGCGAGCGCGCGCGCTGGGCCAGGAACTCGGCCGCCTGCACGATGCCCTCGGCCCAGCTCCAGCCCTTGGCCTCGGCGTCCAGCACGCCCTCCGTCGCCGACACCTCCCCCGCCAGCACCAGCCGGCAGAACGCGCCCAGCGCGCGCACCTGCAAGGCGACCACCCGATTCTCACATGGGCACAGTTTAAGTTAATGTAATATTCCTGCCATTTTTTTAATGTAAAGCTTGAGCTTTAAACATTTCAAAAACACATTCCTATATTTCTTTTAGTAAACACGACAGCTACGTTAGAGCAATTGATTAAATCCTCTGTGTGAAAACACGGAGCTAAATGACTTGGAGTTATCGCTGCTGGATGGGTGACCGTCTGGGATTCCCGACGATCTATGTCCCGAGCATCTGGCTGAAGGCATTAATGGCAATGGCTGATTACGACGGACTAGATTAAAGAAGGATTACTCCACTAGACGTTCCTCACTAGTACGCGGCTACGTTATTACGAATTTACTTAAAATAATTTTAAAATAATACTATCTGCAACCGTGGAAGCTCTGAATCATTATTTTAAACGAGAAAAGAGCTTCTATAAATTAAAACGTCCCGTTCAGCGCTTTTCATCATATAAACCGATATTGTGCGTGGGTAGACATTCGAATATTGTAAAATCATTAATAAAAAACAGAAAATAAGTAAATGAGAGTGTTCCAGAAAGTATCAAATAAAAAGTTTAATTTTTAAAGTAGACTTCGATATTCTACACATGGCTCACCACCCGCGCAATGGACGCCCAGAGAGTTAAATTTCAAAATAGTAGAATTCTAGGCCGAATACCAGAGTTGAGGCAGGAAAAGTAAACCTACATGCACGTGCATAGCAATCGCGTATTTTTCATACGAAGCGCTGTGTAACTGTGTGTTTAGGGCAGTGAGGTGGGGGATACCTCGTCGGCGTCGGCGGCCGCGCCCACGCAGCGCCGGCGCCGCCACTCCTCCAGGTGCCAGCCGCCCTCGTGCGACGCCGCGAACAGCCGCTGCAGGTACGGCCGCAGCACCGGCGCCAGGTGCCGCTTGTCGTGGTCCATCGCGCGGTACAGCCACTTGAGCGTGTGCCGCACCTGACGCACACATCACCCTCACGTGGAACCCTCCTCAAGCGGGAAGTTGCATGTAACTAATCCTACATGCAGTCAGTTGCTCTTTGTTGCAATAAACGCTCACAGATCGTGCTTCTGCTAATACCAGAACTGAATAAACCCTAGCAACATCCAGAGGGGCTTAGTGGCCCACCAATGATTGCTTGTTTTTATTGGTTACATTTTGTTTAAGAATCTGAAAATTATTGACATTGTTTATGATGTTCTTACGTTATTCTCATCGATCTTGTTATAAATAAAATGTTGAAACATGCTATCATATGTGGGGTTTCCTTAACTACGGAAATTTATGACTAGGAAGTATACTACTATACGAGTGTACTAGGAAATATGGATTATAAATAATAGTTAATGCAATTACTTTAGGCTGTTAAGCTTAATTGCGTGAGTACATGTTGAAAAAACGAGCATCGTTAGGAGCGAGTATTCAAATTTGTACGAATGCAATAAAGCATCATTATAAACGAGTTGCATTTGCATTATTTTGTATAACGTCTTTATAAAATTTATAAGAGAATCATACTTAATTCTGAGAAACAACTTCGTTGTGACGTCTCAGGTATTTGATATCTGTGTGACAAAATTTTGGTCGGCTGCTTTCGTTTACCTCTTCTTCTCCAAGATCCTCTCACTGAGTGGATTGGTTGAATGTGTGGTAATGGAATAATTTGGGCCATAAAAAGCTAATATGTCATCTTTTATCTTCAATCGGATAATTTCCGATTATCAATGATATCTTGCAACAGAAAAGGTGCTTTATAATGCTGGTATTCAAAAATAATTCGTTAATATTCGACAGTTTTATTGTATAGTATCGTAGGCTTTCACGGCCGGAGTCAATAGAAGGTAGATTTTCCGGGCTGGTAGGCCGTGGTCCAGTTGGAATAGTTGGGCCACCTATACCAACTGGACCACGGCCTACCAGCCCGGAAAATCTATTTTCTAGTTTTATTGTAGCTAAGAAGACACGAAAATGGTCGCCGATGTATGAACGCCGGCGTCGTTAGTCGAATTACTTCACTACGCTCCATAAAGTAACGGAAAATTGGTAGATCTAGACACCATGCATTATTGGAGTGGTCACCGCCTAAGAATCCCGGTTCCAAATGAGGCCGAGCCTCTGGCCGAAAGAATAAAAGACAACGACTGACTACGTCGTGACGTTACGAAAAGTTAATGGTGGATTTCCCCAATTCGCTAAATGCACAATAAGGGTTAAATAGATGCTTTGCAAAGACGGAACAAAAAAAACACATGAAATTATATGCAAACATAAGGCCTGCTAATCACTATACCACGGGCGGTTGGGCGTTGCAGAAGGGAAGGAGGAGTATACGCACCAGGATGGCGTCGTCGTTGAGGTTGGCGTTGGAGGTGTCGATGTCCCTGCGCACGCAGTCGATGAGCAGCGTGGCGGCGCGGTCGAAGGCGGCGCGGAAGCGCGCGGGAGCGTCGCCCTTGGAGGCGGCGGCGGCGGCGGCGGTGGCGGGCGGCCGGTCGCGTC